ACACCACAAGGCCCAGGTGGAGCAGTTCCTGACAGAGCATGGTGACAAGTACCAGTCCGTGAAGCTGGTGGGTCCTGAGACCCGGGTGGCCAGCGCTGACGCCAGGAACATGGGCGCGTGAGTCGGGACCCTGAGTTGGGAAAGTTGTGCATGCTGGGTGGAAAGGACCATGGGGTCAGGAGACAAGAGTTCAGAAGGCTTCACGGTCTCCATCAAGTTCCTGGCCTTCCCAGGCCTCAGTTCTCATCCGGCCAATGGGGAAGTGGCCACCTTCCTGCTGGCTTCGGGGAACCATGGGTTTAGGCAGCAAATCAGGGACAGGAGAAGGGCTGGGGAATGGGAAGAAGGCGGATATTTATAATCAGAGATGCAACCCGTCTTATCTAGGGCTAATCTGCCAGATGCCTCACAAGTGGTGGCTTCAACAAACATGGATTTTCCCGCAGTTTAGGGGGCTAGACATCCAAATTCCAGGCGCCGGCTCTCAGGGAAGGCTTTCTCCCTCTGTGGGCTCTGGGATGGGGTGGGGTGGGGGGGCAGCCTTATCCTTTTCTTGCTCCTTTGAGATCTCATAGGGGAGAGAGCGCGACACTTTTACCAAACCAAACTCGCTGCCACTGAGCGATGCTATAGCACAAGGTGGACCTGCCTGGAGGGTTTCCGAGACTGACTGCTTATGGGAGTAGAAAGGCCTGTCTTTCTCCTGAGGAGCAGCTGGTGGGTTTGAACTGCAGGCTTTGAGGTTAGCAGCCCAACGTGAAACCACTATACCACCCGGGTGGGATCTCATGAGCATTACAAAATATGCCTAAGGGGTTTAGAGTTTACATCTTTTTTGGGGGGACATAATTCAGTCTGCAACAACCTTTTATTTATTGCTTCCCCTTTATTTAAAAACAAATAAAAACCACCTAAGTGTGGTGTCAGGAGAAAAACAAGGCTTTCTACTCCCACGAAGAATTCGTCGCAGAAACGCACAGGGGCAGTTCTGCCCCGCCCTCCAGACCCCTAGTAGTCGGCACTCACGCAGTGGCAGTGAGTTTGTATTCAGTGCTGTATGTTGACTGTCAGAGGCTTAGAGAGTTCCGCCACGGTCCTGCCCAAGGGCCAGATGGTGAAGGGTCTGGGCCCCTCATCTATCTTCACCACACAACCCGGTGGCTGTAGCCGGGCACCAGCTGAACTGCCCATCAATATTTAAGCTACTACTTGAACGGAGGAACGCGGGGTATTCCGATAGCATTTTATTTATAAGCGGTGATATTTGAAGGTCATAGCATTTTTATGATTTCATCTACTTTCTTGAGAACTCCCTCTCCAACTATTTAAAAACCTAATCTTTGGACCACAGCCTGTGGTTTGCTGAGCTCTGGATCTGATGGACAAAGAGAGGCTAACTTTTGGAGGCTTTTGGCATAAGGGGAGTCCCACTCCTTCCTGTCTGTCTCCTGAGCCTAGCCGTGTAGGAGCCAGAGGCAGCTGGGCCTGGCCCTACACTGAGGTGTGCAGGGCCCTTCTTGTCACTTACTGGCTTTTGTCTTAAGAACACTCTTCTGGGGCCTGGGTCGTGGAGTTAGGCTACCTGCACCAGCAGCCCCTCTCTGAGGGCCCGGATGGGCAAAGCCAGGATGGCTCATGATCCCAGTCCAGCTCCCCCTGGTCCCGTGTCCTGCAGAGACCTATGCCGACAGGACAGGAGCTGCAGCTGCTACTTCAGCATGGATGCCGA